TTTTTTTTTTTGTATGCTGTTTCCTATGTGTAGAGTAATTGGCGTGCTGTGGTGTGCCTTGTCCTACTGTTTATCCCCTTAAGATCTCTCATTATGGCTTTTTTACACAATGGCTGCAAGCATTGTTCTGCTTATGCTTTTTTTTTTTTCTCCCGCCCAATCATTGCGCTAAAGGGAAGTGGAGAGTGAAAGTGGAATGATGGAAAAACTGAATTCCTGAATTCATTCCACTACTTGAGGTGAATTGTCCCACAGAGAAACTCGATGTTATTCTTGTTGACTGTGAGCTTGTGTATCTGTTGCTCTGCTTCAATCTGAAGTACAGAGGTACCCCCAGGCTCTAATAACGGTCACTTTAACTTGATGCAAGTCTGTGCTGCTGCCAAAAGCACAAGTCTAGTTGTTTTCTTCTCTGTTGCCTTTTGTGCAAAGGCAGTAGCAGAAGTACTAGGGTTTTTGCAGCTGGAGAACAAGTCAGATCTGGGTAAGAACTGAATTGGCTGAAAACCAACCATTTATTATCAGGTCACTGTGGTGGGTTGACCCCAGGTGGCAACAAAAGCCCCAGCCAGCCACTCACTCACTTGCCATTGCTGGGGTGGAGGAGAGAGGTAGAAGGGTGAAAGGCAGGAAAACTTGTGGATTGAGATAAAAGTAGTTTAAAAAGTGAAGCAAAGCTCTCTGTGCAACCAAAGCTCTAGGTGCAACCAAAGCAAAGTAAGGAATTTGCTTGCTCTTTCCCATTGGCAGGCAGATGTTTAGCTATTTCCAGGAAAGCTGGCCTTTGTCATGACTAACGGCTACTTGGGAAGGCACATATAGCCACAAGTGTCCCTCTTCCTCCTTCTCCCAGCTCTTGTTGCAATGCCATATGGCATGGAATGTTCCCCAGGCCAGCTGCCTTTATTGTGTCCCTTCCCAGCTTCTCAGATACCCACATCCCACCTGTTGGGAGGCCCGAGTGGGGAGAAAGAAAAGGCTTAGATGCTGTGCAGATACTGCTCAGCAATAGGTAACACCTTGTTGTGTTACCAGCATTGCTTTAGTTCCAGACCCTCCACACAGCACGGTAGCAGTGGCTCTGAAGAGAGTTGTCTCCATGCCTGCCAGAGCCAGTCCCCTGTCCTGGCGCTCAACTGCTGGGTGGGCGCAGCGGCAGGAGAGGGGATCAGTGGTGGAGTGTGGAAGGACAGGACTGGGCTTTTCATGTTTGTTTTTTGGGGCTGCCTTTGAATTCCTGTCCCGTGAAGCACCAGATGCCTTTCTTGCACTTAATAAGTAGCACACGTAGCAGTGTATCAAAGGTGAGTGTAATGTCACATCAAATCAAGATTAATCTTTCTTCTTCAGCTAGTTCCGCAGTGCTGAGGTGTGTCCTGATGTTAGGGCTTCACAACCTTGCCTGTAACAATGCTGACCTGATGCATTCCTTTGCATTTAAAAATTTAAATAATTTTGCTTTTAAAAAGCAGTTAAGCATTTTAAACGACTGGTAGAACTAATCATGTACTTGCATTTGTGACTCAGGAGGAAACATTTAAAAAATATTTCTGCTAAAGAATTATGATAATCAGGAGTTAGATATAATAAATGCACACATACACTATAATACCTCCACAGTTAGCTTACAGTGCTTTATAGATAACAAAAAGGAAGTTGAATCTGAGAAGGTTATTAAGTGTAGATGAGACAAAATGTAGCAATGTTTTAGAAAAGGTTTCTTCCTTCCAGGTTTACAGTTGCAGTTAAAATAAACAATGTGGAATATGGTAGAGGCACTGGTAAAAATAAGAAGGAAGCTAAAGCCATAGCAGCAAAAAATGCCTGGCTAATGATCGAGAAACAGGTGAGTAAACTGTAGGATTCAATTTTCTTCTTCTTTTTTTTTTGTTTTTTCCTGGTAAAGGTTGAAGATTAATCTCTAAAAATAGCCAATAAAATATCATTGTTTTTCTTTAATTTGGAAGAGTTTCTAATTATTTATTTAAGTTGTCTTTATTCTGTTTCATTCAATGCTTTTCTGATTTTTATCACTGAAGTGTTTTCCTTTTCTACTGCTTCCTTTTCTGTTGCTATGTCATATCAATAGTGTTTCCTCCTCTGCTGTTACAGGAGGATAAGGAAATGTATTTGCCTCTGTTAAGCTGCCTTGGTGGTATATCCAGTGCAGACAGCATTCCTTTCTCTTCTTGACAAATGTTCAGTAATTCAATGTGTTCAAAACATTTGCAGGGCACTGTTCAGTATGCCTGCTGCCACACTGCTCATAAAATTGTTTACTTTCACTTCACCTGATTCGTCTTTTTTTTTTTCCTTAGAATTATATTCTTTATGGTACAGCTGATTCTATACTCTTTATCATTCCTTGATTTAGTTTAGGTTTGATTTTTTTTTCTTGTATTTTCTCCCATGAGTTTTGTGGTAGCTATTCTTTATTTTTGAGTCAGAATGCTTCCTAGAATTCCCTATCTGTTTTCTATACTTTTTACTAGGTCACCATTATTACTGTAACAAAATTGCTGCACGTTTGCTAATATATTATTAATGCTGCCTCATCATGAGACAGATGAAAAGTCCTGCTTTGTCCTTTTGTAGGTGCACAGGAGCATTTGCAGCCATTGCTGATGGCAGCAGCATCCTGCTTCCATCCCTTTTCTTGGCTCTGGCCAGGCTGTGAGAAAATTCAGAAGGCAGCTTTTATATATATATATATATATATATGTATTTTTTTTTTTTCCTGTTTTTAAATGAGGTATTTCACATCTTGTTCCCTCTCTTAAAAGAAGTTACCTGTTTGTTTTATAGCTGGAGAGCCCTTCAAGCAATCTAACTGCAGAATTAATGACACCTCAGGTGACCTCATCCCCTGTACCACCCAGCACCTCTAACTACATCAGCATACTAAATACCTATTCACAGAAGTCCTCACAAGTAGTTGATTATCCTAACAAATGTTTTGGAGACGCCCATGCTCCCATGTAAGATGTAATTTATCTTCTTGCTTGCTTTTAATATTTGTGTTCATTAACACTGCCATTAGTTACCCTGAGTAGTGTTAGATCCCTCTCTAGAAATACAGTAAGAATGTGGAGGTAGTCTGGAGAGAATCTAGAGGGGGTTCAACACAGGAGGAGAAGCTAAGAGGACTGTTTAGCTGGGTGAAGAGACGGCATGGTGATAAAATGGTAAGAAGTGCTGACAAGACAAATTGTCAGTTATCTTGGTTGTTGCTCTGGCACCTTTGTGGACCTTTCAGCTTGTATTTTGGAGACCCCTAGGAACCAAGTGCCAAGGAAAGCCTGTTTGTGTCCCCTGTGTGCATTGCAGTCAGTGAGTTGTAGAAATTATCTAGTTAATGACAGCTGGGGGATGATAAAGAATATCTCTCTTGTCAATAAAGAAAACTCCCTGGACCCTATCTGCTGGAAAACTCCTCCTCTCTTCCCCAGCAAAATCAGCCATTTTAAAACCTAAGCTGCAGATAAGTTGTGATTGTGGTTGTATATGATAAGATGCTTTGAGGAGTTCAGCCTTAAAAAGTGCTAAATATTCACTCCCTGAAAATCAGCTATCTTGGAGCTGTGTCAAATCAGTTATTTACCATTATTATTTAGGTAAAATGTATATTGGAAATACTGTCGTGAAGATGTGTGTTTCAGATTTCCCTTCTATAATGTCAGTTGACTGTAGTGTTTAAAATCACTAAATGAAGACTTGTCCTGTAGGATCTAAGAGAGTATTCTGTGTGTTACAGGTTTGTGTGTAGCTGCACCATCAGCGGCCATGTGTACGGCAGGGGCACCGGCATGACGCTGGCTAGCGCCAAACAAGCTGCTGCAAAGGAAGCATTTGAGAAGCTGACTAGCGAAGGCTCTCTAACAGTATGTGATATGTTTAGCCTTAAGGCAGAAGTTTAATTCTTGTATCTTTAGTCTTTGAACAGATTTCCTCACTGTATGTAAAAGTATGTTCCGTGGATTCCACGTAATTTGGAAACAATCCGTATTTTGGTGGGTTGGTTGGGCTACAGGATTCTGCTGCTAAAATTTATCTTGTGTTTCTATATTCAATTGCTGGATTAAAAAAAGTCTCACATTTGATAATCTCCATGTATTTCAGAATGTTATCTGATACGTTGCCATTCAAGGATTCACAGATATTAAAAATTTCTGAATCCTGACTAATATACTGCTTGTCTTCTGTGTGAAGTGTTGTCAGGCTGCCTGGCTATGAACATAAATCTCTTACTGCCTTCTGTTGGATCAAAAATCTATTGAGAAGTAGAAGAAAGGCAAAAGCAGGATTGAGAATCAACAGAAAATCTAAGGCAGAGTCTAGTGAAGCATTTGCTAACACTATCCTCTAGAGAGCAGAGCTGTTGTCTTCATGTTGGTTATCATATTCCATATGTACAAAAAGTTATCAGAATTCTAAGAGTGATCCAAACCCACTTCTGAAATGCACAGAACAGTAAATATGAATTAATTAAAATTAAGTGTAGTTTAAAGAGGAGGAAATAAGTATTTTTTTCTTTTAAGTACTTTTTTCATTATTTGTCTGTTTAGTGTAAATTCTAAGTACTTCTTGTGTTCTTTTTCGGTTAACCACATAATTAATGGCCTCTTATAGCTCTAGGTTCTTTCCTTAATATGTTCTGGTGTTGTGAGCTGATGGCTCTTTGTGGGTTCATCGAAGTCTGAAATTTAGTACCTCATGCCGAACCTCTGTAGTAATTATTCTGAATTTGGGGTGGGTAGGTTTGGTTTTAATTTTTCTTAATTCCCAGTAATGTCTGTGTTACAAAATGTAACTAGCAAAAAGGAGTAAAGGCTGATTACTCCTGAAGTAAAAAAAAAAACCCATGGAGTTTGTCTATTGGCTATTATTGAAACAATCCTTTAAGGTTGTGGTGGGGTGTTTTTTGTTGTTGTGGTTTGTTTGCTTTTTTTTTTGTATGACGAGAAAAAAGGGAAGAACCTTTGCTATATTTAGGATTAATTTTTTAGTTGATTTAGTAATCCAGTTTTTGCAGGGTTTTCACAATGAAGACATGGAATGTTTTTTTTTGTACAGACTCAGATTTTCAGTTCTGCTGATTGCATATACCAAAGCCTACATGTATCTCGTTTTCTGCACAGACAATTGCATGTGCAGGAAAAAATGAAAAAAAAAAAAAAAAAATTGCTTTTAAGAACCGTTACTCTTATCCTGATTTTTAAATAATTTTTTATCCTGAATTTTTGATCCCAGGCTCTACTTCTGCAAAGGTGTCTATATAGTCTCAGTATGAGTGGGAAAACTGTGACAGGGCCCTGTTTCAGTCCTCTGGGTGGAAGCTTTTTACATGATTTTATTAAACATTCTTGTTTTCTCTTTTTTTCAGATAGGAAGCGAAAAATCTAACAACAATTCTACATTTAGCAAACATAGTAATTCCCCTCAAGTGCCAACTCAGTCTGACTTGGAGTAAGTTTGGTTCATTGATAACATAATAACAAAATATGTTTACTAGTCTTTAGAGGGTCATGTGATCTAGAACTAAATAAAATCTGTCATAGTCTCTCTACTGCAGTATAAAGCCATTTGAGCTTTTGTTTCGTAGACTTCAGAACAAAAGTTGTGGTGCTTGTGCAATTTTGAATCCTTAGGCGTTAGCTTATAGTAATTTTATAGCTTTCTGATATGTTTTGCCATGAGTAATTCTTTCAGAAGTGCTTCTGTGATGTAAACAGAATAACCTACACCATTCCATGCCATTTTTAATGCTCATTTTCCTATTGTGACAATCTTGTAAACTCATTATATTAAATTTTGGTACCTTCTGGTGCTCCACATTCTACCTTCTTCCAGTTTTTTGTGTGTTGTGGGTTTTTTTTTTTTTTGGTCATTCTCTATAAATCTTCACTTCTAACAAAGAGAAAATTTGCTTAGAAAAATAAAATGAACATGCATAAAACTTCAGTTGTAAGTTTGGAACCCTAGGTCAAGGCTTTTGTGTCCGGCAGTTAAGATAGCAGTGGCACCACTTTTTATGTTAAAGCAAGCAGATAACTACAGTGTTAGAGGTGGCTGCAGTGCTTTGAAATATACATCTGTATTTAACCTGTTTAATGAAAGTATATAATAGAATATTTATCTTATAGGTATCTAGATATCAGGAGATAATATCATAGAAATAGAGGAATGTATTACAAAATACTATTGTTTTATTAACTTTCCAACGTGAAGTTTTGTAATTGAAATCGGTCATGATGGTTAATGCTTTTTCAGGGCTTGCTTTTAAAACCTGTGTATTTTTTAATGCTTCTTTTTTCTTGTGGTGGTCCTTTTATTTGTGATTGTATTACTTTAACCTAAAACTAGTCTATTTTTCAGTAACAGCAGTAGACTGTTATTGCCTTTGAATAGAGACTCTGAAGACTCAGCTGCAAAGTTGGTAGAAAAAGTGAAAGACATGGCAGTATGTGAATCGCCTTCACCTTCTCAGGTATAGTATGAAAATGGTCTTCCTCATAATTTCATTTTAGACTCTGAACGGAGTAAGCTTCTTGTCAGTGTAGCATCAGTTTGGTCCTTTATCCACTAATCACTAGAAAACATTCATTTTTCATAAGAGTATTCATTACTTTCTTACTGTTAATCATTAATTTTTTACTTCTGTACTGTGGACCCAGTTTATTCCCTGTTGGCCAAACGGGCAGTACTCCTAAGAAAGGGGATCAAACCAAGCTTATATTTTACTGTGGGAAGAGTGATAAAGTCATGCATAGCTTAAAAATTTCCACATATGCCAAGATATGGCTTCATTCTTGTTACATTGTTTATATAAGTTAGGAACACATTTATAGACAATTCCTAGATACATTCTCAGACACATTTTAAACTAAGCGTAGTGAAAGCATTTGGGTTCTCTCCTAAGTAAGATTTTTTTTTCTCTTGTTCATGTAGAGAGGTGCACAAGGTTCTGCCCCGAAATGTCAAAGGTATGTGTGTATTTCTAGGTTGCTTCCTTCCATCAACTATATTGCGAACCACTTTACTGTTTCTGTATCCCATAAAGAAATGCCACTATTGGGAGATAACGTTTAAACTCTCTTGTTATGTGTTAGAAAAATGTCTCTTTATAAGTTTTGCTTTTATCCTTGTTAAAGAAAATTGGCGGCTAATTTTGATAACGCAAGAAACAAGGAAGAGGAAAAAAAGATGTCGGATTTAGATAAAAAATTCCAAGATCTGGACAGAAATACCGGTGAGGAGAATGAAAATCCTTACACTGTTAATGAAAGGTAAGAAGGACAATTACAGTATGTAGTAGCCTAGATTTACATATTTATAATATAATGTGGAAAATCAGTGCTGTCAAAAATGTTTAAAAGAAAATTTGTGTTTGAGATACTTTTTTTTTTTTCCCCTGGAAATTGCAAATGCAGTATAGCAACTGACATATAAGGATATTTAATGCTTACAAGGAAAAGTAATTTGTGTGAAGATGTGAGGGTAATTATCCTGTATGGTTTCAAGTGTCAGTTTCCCTTGTTATTTTTAATCTTCAAGACTCTAATTTAGACCTGTATAGGTGTTGAGTGATCTTTGTAGAATGATACTTCAGGAGATGTGTTAGATCTGTCAGGATCATTTTTATATCTTATAAATTTAATTTTTAGTTACTTAAGTTTTATATTTGTATCTATATATCTAATCTTTCTATCTATTTTTTTTTTTTTTAAGATTTCTTGAGAGTTTTAAAAATATAGAGCCTATTGGTGAAGGTGGTTTTGGGAATGTTTTCCAAGCAACAGCAAAGCTTGATAAGAGAACCTATGCAGTCAAACGAGTTCAATTCACAAAGTATGTACTGTATATTTACTTCTGTTCTTTATTTTAGGACAGCCTTTATCAAGATTTTAGTACCTTCTTTTGTCTCTTTAATAATCTTAGAAGCATTTAAGCAATTTTCATTATTAATTGTCCATTCTTTCTGGTAAACTGTTTTCTTCATTTCTCAGTGAAGCTGAAAATGGCATGCCCTGGAATAATCACAGATGAAGCTGTAAAAAGTAGATTTGATAAGTTCTACTTTCCCTTAACTAATACTCTGGTTATTAATATTGCAAAATGTGTTTGAAGAAAGCTTGCTGATTAATAGAACGTTGAAAGCAGCACTGTTACTTTTGACAGGTTACATGGAAAATTTACATTCAGTAATGCATAATGACTGTAATTAGGGAAACAGAGAAAAATGAAGGTAATAGATTTTGAGGTTGGTATTTGGCAAATGCTTTATATATGATCCATGTAGTCATTCTCACACTGTGTTACTTGTCTTTTTTAAATCTCAACAGAGACTGATGATCTTAACTTTTTAAAAATGCATTTTTCTGTAACCAGTGCTTAGTGGAGTATTTTATCAGCAGCTGAAAAGCTTTAATTTCTTTTAGGTAATCTATTGAAAAAGTTTCAAGCTGTTAGAGATAATTGTCCCTCACATTGTGTAACTGCCCTTCAAATTCTTGTGTTCTTCACAAATATGTTATTTTTATTTGTAGTGCAATCTTGAGGACTATCCTAAAAAACATTCTGCTGATTCTCCAAATCCTGATTTCTGGTCTGCTGGTTTGAACTTACATCACTAGGCAGTGTTGCAACAAGTGCAGATCAAATTTAGTAATACTTTTTCATAAGTATTTACATTGACACATGTATATGTAAACAAACTTCATAGAGGTGAAAAGAAAACATGGGCATTTGCTATGTTGTGTTTGGGTACCTAATGTAATTACGCGTTGCAACTATCTGTGTTTTTTCAGCTTTTTTTTGAGCGGGGCTTTCATTTCTAATATAGTTAAACACTTTTGCACTTTGAATAACTGAGCAGATGAAAGAAAAACCACAATTTGTACCAACAATTTTGAACTGTATGAATGTTATGTTCTTTTTCTAAATTAATGTGAAGTTTTCTGTATACTGCTACTTGATATCATGTCTTTTATTTAATTTAGTACTACAGTTTCATAGAGAAATGCCTTTTTTTTTTTTTTTTAATTTAATTTTTCTCCCTCCTCAAAATAGGAATGTAGAGCGTGAAGTAAAAGAACTCGCAAGACTTGAGCATGAAAACATAGTGCGGTATTATGGTAGCTGGGAAGGGTACGACTATGTAACTTATCCAGACTCAAGGTAACTACAAGATAGTAGTCTGTACTCACAAACTTGTTTGCCATAGTGGATTTTATGTTATAAGAAGGAAGGCTGATGATTGATTATAAATCTTTATACAACTATAAATGCAGACACATGCTTACATACTTCCTGTTAGGAAAAAAGGCACAGTAATTTTCAGCAGCAGGTCTAGTATAAGTAAGTATATTTATATCATCTTTTCCTTGATGAGTGAGTTTCTGTAACTTTCTTTCTCCTCTCAATATATAGAACTTGCTGAATCTATAGAGGAGTGCAAGAACACAGAACTCAAAATCTGGGGCTAGAATTAAGAACAGAAATTAAGAAATTGTGTAGTGGTTGGCTGCCAAATTCCTGATGAGAAGTTTCCTTTTTTTAATAAGTGCTTGTCAGCTATTAGCTCCCATAGATTAATTATTTGTCTAAGCTAGAATTTTAACCATGATGCCTGAAACAGTTTTGGTTGTTGAGAACAGAAATACAAACTGAAACATTCTTTCCTTTAGAAGTAGTCTTTCGACACTAAGACTTCTGGGAAGACAGTGGTGAGAGTTTTGCTCATAAGTTAGATTATCAGCTTTTCAAAACTTGTCACTAGCTATAAATTCATACCCTTCAGGTAGGTTGCCACACTTACCTAGAGCCATAAAATATTAATGGCTTCAAAATTGTTTGACGTGATACCTGTAGTATATGTAAATAGGGAAAAAAAACTCATATCAAAACCCATTATTGTGTTGGAGTCTCAATATCACTTATGTGGTTTTTATTGAACAGTTATTTGGTAAAAGACAGGAAAAAGTCCTCAAAGCTGAAGTTCCAGCCTGTAATTCCACTTAGTGCCCTGACCTCAAGGCTACAGAGAATCCCGAGCCACTTAACACTTGTTCTTCCAGTGCCTCAGGTGACTTTATTGCAGAGCACTTCATCACACAGTGCAGGTGGAAAAATGTATTGCCTCTTCCTCTTCATATTGTCCTTCTTCTCACCATCCTCAGCCTATTCCATGGGCTGATGGGGAGGGAACTCTTCTGGAAAGTGTCAGGCTGGTGAATATATTTCATCTAGATCTCAGACGGGTTTCTCTAACTCGCAGACCAACGTCAGAGATGGTCACCGTGCTGCCTTCTTGAAGAGACAGTTTGAAAGCAAGTGACCTTCTGGGTAGGAGAGGAAGGCTAATGCTGTGTTCATTGAAAAGGATAGAGAAAGTATACCTGCCAGGGACTTGACAGCAGTTCCTAGAGGGCAAGACAGGATCCAAGGACAGTGCTATTTCTTCCTGTATAGGATGTGCCTCTAGATGTGAGGCGAGTGGAATTTGGACACTCAGAAAACTTTCAGTGTGAACAAGGAAGCAAGTAAAATGTTGGAAATGTTCCAAGGAGTATGTATCAACTGAGCAGGGATACTTTGGTTTGCAGTTCTATTTATTTATATCTAGTATGAATTGGTCTAGGATCTTTTTTAAAATCAAGGGATTTGCAGTCTTCGTTTTGGGGAACTCCCAAAAGCACAATTAACAAAAGGGTTTTGTTTAAAGAAGAGGAACCTGAGAACCCTTGATGGCCTGGGGGGAATTGTATCTTGCCGATTTCAATATAGTATATAATTTTCATTTGCAGGCAGAAGTCAGACAAAAAAATTAACTGTCTTTTCATCCAAATGGAATTATGTGAACAAGGGCCATTGGAAAACTGGATTGAAAAGCATAGAGAAAAACGAAAGTATCATGAGATGGCACATAACAAATTTTTACAAATACTGAAAGGAGTGGAATATATTCATTCTAAAGGGTTAATTCATCGAGACCTCAAGGTAAGTAAGATAGATAATTAAAAAAAAAAAGATTTTAAAAAAAAAATACTGATTGGAATTGCAGAAAATGTTGAATTGTTTTAGTCTTTGTTTAGTCTATTATGTACCCTAGTAGTGTGATACTGCTAGTGATTAATTTTGTTTTCAGCAACTGTCTGGAATTCATCCTAAAATCTGAAGGTAAACTGGAGGATCTCAGAATACAGTAGTTCAAAAAATCAGTAGCCATCAGTTAACAGGGATTTTCAGTACATTATGTGTTACTGGGTCACACGATTGCCTATTGGAAAAGAAATACTAGCTGTACTTGATAAAGTAAATAAAAGAAAGTAAGTGAAAGTTGAGTCATATATGAAAGACATATATGAAAGTTGAGTGATAGTTTATCCTAATACATGCCATTTGATAACTACGTACACTAGTTGCTCTGGTATCACATGTGCATACAAATAATTGAATGCAACATTTTTTTTTAATAGAATTTCAGTCTTTACAAATGCACAATCATAAAAAGACTTTATTTTAATATAAAGATTATAAAGGACAAAGTTCCAAGCCTTCAGGGCTTCATATGCCAGCTATAATGTTGCTTACAGAATTTTAAATCCCTTGCCTTGTGAAAAAGCCATCAGGGTGGTGGTGGTACTGAAAATGGCTGTAACAGGTCATGCTGTTCTCTTCGTATAAAGGCCAATTCCAAACACAGAGTATTAGAGCTGAGACATGCTCCAGTGATGCTGTCCTTGATGCATAGATGCATATTCCCTCCTCCTCAAGACTTGTGGTAACCTGAAGTTTATGGACTTTCTGAGCTGGAGATTGAAATCTGCATTTTGCGTTCAATGTAGTTCCAGAAAATGTTCATTGCCTACTTATAGAATCTTGCCATCTTCCACAGCTTTCCTGTGAGGCTTATTGCTACAACACTGGAATGAGCCACAAATGAAGAGTCATTCTTTTCCCTAGAGGCCTGGGAAAAAGAGGCCCAATAAGTGCTTTCTCTCCACACTCATAAATTCTTAGCACTTCCTACTCTGTGCTTTCTATTTTCTTGCTCCTTCAGTCCTACTTTATTTTCATCTCAGCTCAGTCTCCTACTTTTCCCTATTCCTGTGAATCTGCTGCCCCAGTCCCTTGTCCATGATGTCTGCCTGTAACCTGCTTCTAAGTCCTGTTGCTAACTTGCCTGTCTGCATTTGAATTTAAGAACTTTTCTCCCTGTTTTGATCTGCTGTCAACTTAGCTAATCAATCTGCTGGGCCATCTCAGAGCTCCATGTTCCAGAATCAAAGCTGTAGGCTAGGACCAAGCTGAGATGAATCCCATTTGTGCTTAGTATGAATGGAATCTTCAAATAAGTGTAGCCAGGTACAGGTACTGCATTACGTGTGTGTAGACGTGGTCAAACTTGAACAGAAGAACTGCACTGGGCATTCTTGATGCAAAGATCTCTTCCTGTTAAAGTCTCTTCTGGCCTTACAGTCCACTGGAGCTTCTTTGAGTAAAAGATAGCATGAGGGTATCTGGTTTTGTTAATGTTCAGAAATGTAGATTATCTTTGGGAAACTTCATCCAAGTATAAACAGTTCTGGGTTTAGTTGCTTATGACTTTATCAAATTTACAAATGGGACACTCGGTGGAAACTTAAAGGAGGTTCTGTGAGATGCCTGCAGTAAGCCCTAACTCTGCCATTGACTTAGGACAGGTAATACTGCATGCCTTGGAGAAACTATTATTTGAGTGGAATTCCATGTGAGCCTAAATGCTTTGCCCAAGTGTATCAAGTCCCAGGGCTAAGACTGAAGACTAAAAACCACTTCTGGATATGAAATGCTATCTATGCACAATGTATTTGAAGAGCATTAAAGCATGACAGTTATGACTGACCTAGTGGGAAAAAAAAAATTGCAGTTATTGTGGCATGTACTATTTCAAATTTAGCTTCTGTTTTTAAAAATTAATGGAACTTTTTTCTGTTGCCCACCCCATCAATTTCTTAATGCTAATTTCTGTGAACAATTATAAAATTTTATGGAGGACACTCCTGTGGCTGATTATGCTTGACAATAAACCTTAGTCATATGGTGATTTTATTTTTTTTAAAATATATCATAGCCCCAGAATATATTATTATCACATGAAGATAAAATAAAAATAGGTGACTTTGGACTTGTGACTTCTGTGGAATATGAGACTCTGACTGAGAACAGAGGAACAAAATCATATATGGCACCAGAACAGGTAATTATCCTACTAGTGTCTCTGTAACTAGATTTGCATTATAAACTCAGCATTGGATGTTTGCTGTCTTAAGCTCAGTACTACACCAAGTAGCTTTAAGTTCCCTCGTATGACTGCACACAGGGATAACAGTATTCTGGAGAAACCTGTCCCCAGGTGTGGTGGCTTCATTTCGCTGTGCTAACCTACAGGCTGACAGTGTGTGCTGTAAGGAAGCGGGAGCATTGGGAAACCAGGCTGCCAGCCTTCTATTTATTTCATTATTTCTGAGATAAATTGGCATGCCTCTCCTGTAGAAGTCTTACTTCCAGTGTATTTAATTTGATGCAATAGTCACTTTTTAACAGGTTGGTACCAGTAAGTGCTAATAACTAATAAGATCAAGTAGGGGCAGGCCTGTAGCCTTGGGGTTGAAATGTCTAATGACTTCAAATTTTGCGTTAAGAAGTGCTGTCCAGTTGGATTTGATGCCCGTGTTGTTCTTGTTCTAATCTTTGTAGGCTAGGGACAGCTACGGAAATAAAGTAGATATTTATGCCCTGGGATTAATTTGGTTTGAACTTCTTCTTGCATGCAGTCGTCATGAGAAGGTGACGGTACGTAACCTTTCCATTTAAAAAAGTCTGCCATTGCTTTGCCTTGCTGGTGGGATCACACGCTGATTGCATCCTAGAAGGAATCTGTGTATTTAGAGTCTCTATTGCCATTTTCCCTTTGATTCATTTACTGTAAGGCCTGCAAGTCCTCACACCTTGGCTGAAATGTAGTAACTGAAGAAATATTACTGGCTTTGTTTCACTTATGTCCTACTGACATACACATTAAAGCCTAAACATACTGAAGAATAATGTCTAGCAAACAAGATTTCAAGTTTCTGATAAATCTTGTTTGATCAGTGTTTAAAGGGAATATTTTTCCAACTTCAGAAAATAAAAAATGAATGGGAGTGTTCTGTCTCTGCCACACTCTCATCTTCACTGCAGAGTGGGGCAAGAACAAAGTTTCTGTCAAGCTGATACGTTGCAGTTTTCCAAAATGAAAACAAAAGCGATTTGGAATATGTAGCTTTAATGGGAAAAGATGTTACTTCAAAAAGAAAACCAGTGTTACTCGAGCTTGTTTTGAAAAGGTCTCTTTTACCCACATCTTGCTACTTTGTGCGTTAGTTTAATAACTCCTACACTCATGGTTATATGTTTGTAGGACAGCAATGTAGATGCCAGCTATCTTGTCTAAAGTAATAGTAAGATATATGTACATGATTTGACCCAGAAGCACTTGAACACCATTAGCTTGGTCCTTTTGTCAATGAGTAGACTGTATCAACATGTCTGCTTGACTCAAGGTTCAGTTTGGCTCTGTTTAGTTACCTAGGAGTGTTTTCTAAGACATCTTATTCCTGCTCGCAGCTGGCTCTGCAAGTGTGCCCACAGTCCCCTGGTGTTTACAGTCAAAAGGGGAAGACCAATTAGTCTTGTTTCCTTAGAGCATAAACACCTTGCGTCTGTAGGCAGGTAGGGAAGTCATGTGCATGGGAAATCCTAGGATGGTCTTCAGCTTCTCCACCAGCTTAGAAATTAATTTCACTTAATGGAGCACAGTAAACTGTGGTTTGGTGCTGGCAAGCCCTGCTGAAGAAAAAAAAAAATCATAGAGAAGTGAAGTGCATGATTATGAACCAAGTAACTGGATCAGCTAGACTCCAGACAGGGTCACAGGCCTAAAGCTACAGCTGAAGAGTAGGGGAAAATGCTTGAAGTTCATGGGAGCTAATGTTTTCCTGGTTGTGGGGAAGGACTTGCTAAGCCAGGCTATAGCCCCCATAAGACTAGCTAATGATTCTGCACGCGCAGCTAAGCGTCTGCGAATGTGATTGTCCTCTTCTCCAGGGACACTGGAGACAAAGTGAATGACATGGACTGCTCTTTTTATCCAGAAAGCTACAGCATGTGAGGAAGGTTGTTACCCAGAAACAGTTTCTGAAAGCATGTAATTAAAAATCCTCTGCGTGTTAGTTGGCTTTGAACTCCACAGAGCGTTTTATGCAGTGACATAGAAATAAGTGTGTGGTACTGAACAAGGTAAAAGGAAGGAAGCACACCTGCTTGGCTTCCAAATAGTAACATTTAAAGTAGGAAATTTAGTTGTGGTTGTTTTTTTTTTTTTAAATGTGGTGTTAGAATATAAACCCACTACTTTTAAATTAAGAAAGGATAATGGTTCTGAAATAAAGAGGCTGGCTGAAGCAAACACTGCGTTGTAAAGTGTGAAGCTTTAAAGCGTAAGGGACAAAGTGGATGTTTTTGTAAAAAAACCAAAACAAAGTACTGAATGGAAAAACCTCCAAACTGTTTACAGTTGGTTTCTTTTTGTAGAGTCATATTTTCCTAATTACTTCAGTAAGCTATACCTATAAAGTGAGATGCAAAATATAAACAATGAAAACACACTGAAACTGTTCTGTTTATGAATTTCAGATTTGGCCTGATGTTAGAGAAGGTCGATTTCCGGAGTACTTCACCAAGCAATTTCCAGCAGAGGTATAGGATTTTAATACATTATTTCAGTGAGCTAATTTAGTCATTAAAATATAATTTATTGATGTTTAATTTCCTTTTGCAGGCACCCATAATAAAAAAGATGCTTTCAAGAGACCCTTCAGTAAGATACCCTGCATCTGAAATACTGAAGTTTTTAAAGTCTGTTAATAACGACAACTCACTTAAAACTCATACTCAGTAAATGCCCTTTTAAAAGGCTTTCAGACTGTCTTTATATCCAGAGTTTGAGGTCTGTTGAAACTGATGAAATAGCAGTAAATGTCACACGCAACAGCAACGCTTATGATAGGTGTTTTCCTTGCTGTTCTGCCTTTCTGCCATGGAGGAGCTCCTCAGCCAAAAGGGTCGCATCACCATTCGTGGCCATCAGCTGCCAACCAGGACAGTGTACTTCTGCAAGCAATCACTTGCCCTTTGTTACCTGGAAAGACAGGTTGTGGATGAGCTAACTACAATGTACACTTAAGTGCTAGAGCCTAGTCCTTGTCTCCTAGAAGATTAAGCTGATGTGGTGCTAACTGCACTGTGGGAAATTCCTGTGTGCATGCTCTTAGCCTGTGCTGCATCTCTTATCAGTTGCCATGGAAGAAGTGCTGTGGTATGTGACTCAAACCTTTCTGACTTGCTCAGTGCTGTTTTTAATTATTACTAGAACCCTCCCATTGATACCAAGACTAATTTTGGTAGAAAAGATACTTGGAATAGATATGGGTTATTCTTCAATCAAGTGGAACTTTCTTATCTCTATACACCTGTTGAACATCCAGGACTTTCAGTGCTCTAGAATTTAAAAATATAGAATCATAGAATCATTTAGGTTGGAAGGGACCTCCAAGAATACTTGTAAAGTAATTATTCCTTGAGAATTTAAAAGTGAAGCATGCAGCTTCTAGGAAATCTAGTTTACATTTGTTCTAAAATTCTGAAAACCTTTAAGTTCTGACCTTTTTTTTTTTTTTGTTCTGAAAGGAAAACTTAGGGTGCTCTTGATTTAGCAAAATTCTACAGTTTTCTCAGTAGTAACCATCTGAGTTGTGCTGAGAGTGCACCTTAAACATTCTCTCCCTTACTGCTAGGTTTTAATCCCTTACTATAATACTGAGGCATGCCTAGCCTTTAACAAGTGTACTTGAATACTTCTGATGCCCTTACTGTCAGCCTCACAAAAGTAACAGCAGTTCCCCCGTTACTCTTTAGTTACAGACTTAAAAAGGTCCAGACTTGCCTGGACTGGAAGTATATTTTCTGTGTGGTAGCGGGGAGCAGGGAGCAAAGACAGGCACATTCAGCCTTCAGATGCTTGTCTTTGAGCTGCATCTTGTCAAGCTGTTCATTGCTGTGGAGTCCATAAAGGCAAATGAACAGAGACTTTTAAGCAGAAAATTAAGTATTACCTGTAAAGTACTATATGCTTTTTCTGAAATGTTAAATGGGTTAAATGTGGGTGCTTGGTTAAATGAAATAATATAAATGAATACACAGTAATTTTTATATTGTGGAAATTATTGCTGAACTGATGAAAGTATTTGTTGCTAAATAAGAATCTGAATTTTTATCCATTTGCAAAGCCTGATGATGTGTGTTTTTTTTCTCCTTATCATGAATAACAAATATAGAATCATATAATGGCTTCTTTTCCATATGCCTTAGCATAGTTTTCAGGAGGATCTGCTCCATGATCTTTCTGGGCACAGAGGTGAGACTGACTGGCCTGTAGTTCCCAGAGTCTTCCTTTTTTACCTTTTTAAAAAGGGGGGTTATATTTCTTCTTTTCCTATCAG